GGATTTGACGGTGGAGACGCATAGGAAGGGGAAATATCCTCTTTATGTATGTCTCCTCCTCCGTCGATCAAAGGTAGGCAACGCATCCGCCATAGCGAATGTCTATGGGCAGCAGTCGTTTCGCTATTTTGGCGGATATATGTGGCCAGGCATTAGAATTCAAGCGATAATTGCTATGTACTAAAACAGTTAAAAAACATTAATACTTTGGTAATATTATATCTGTATTTTGAATATAAATAAAGAATGCTTCATTTGGACTTATTTCTCGTAGAAACATGTCAGAGAAAATATTTATTAATATCCAAAAGGTCAACCTATTCCTATTAAAGCTTAACTTCTAACGACATTGTATAAAGGTTGAAAAAGATACATAAAAGGTTAACGAGTGTGCGGCCGTTATCGGTCAGTGACAGGATACGATGCGGTTACGACGATCTCAGTTAAAACAAACAAAGGGTCATAATAATTTTTTTATCTCTCTAACAAGACTGAATTTTCATTATTATTAATAATTTTAGTTTATTGTTAATTTAATATATAGGTTAAAATTATTTTTTTTAAATAGGATATTATTGTTTTTGATTAAGCCAAAAAATTTAAAGTTGGCAACCCTAAATCAATTATACGAAAACATAGATTTTTTAATTGTTTTTAGGTTATGTATAACGTTATACATTTAAAGCACAATACATAGATTGCGTCAACTAAGTTAAATGACGCAATCATTATATCAACAATAACAGCACAGTTCTGCGCTTTAAAACTATATTTTTTTTAACTGTTTTTGTGTAACTGTTTTCTTATTATTCATTTATGACTCACAATACCTACTTATTCATCAAAATATGCCGACACAATCTTAATTGTGGCTAACCACAGCGATAAAAAAACGTATCAAATACGATAAGTAAATATAAACAAGCAAATACATATGTCAGATATTAAAGCATCGTCTTAGGGTGTGAGACAATGTTGGCAACCTTTGTAACTTTGGCAACCTTTGTAAAATTGGCAATCTTTGTAACATCGGCAAGTTTAGTAACCTAAGCAATCATTACCTGAGTCTCGTTGCTCTGCAGCTGATCGCGGGCCTGCTTCACCATGTCGGTACAAATCTTGCAGATGCTGTCAGTATCCTGAGGGTACTCGGCGCGCGGCCACACGCGGCTCACGCAATGATGGGTGGCTTTGCATTCGCGACCAGTGCTGGAAGAAACGAGTGAAACGACCAGTTATATTGACCTATCCATTCTCTTAGTGGATAGATTTATCTATCTTACTAATCTTACTTCTTACTAATATTATAAATGCGAAAGTTTAGATGGATGGATGGATAGATAGATGGATGGATGGATGGATGGATGGATGTATGGATGGATGGATGTTTGTTAGCGTTTGTAGCCTAAACGGCTGAACGGATATCCATGAAATTTGGCACAGGTTTAGAGCATAGTCTGGAAGAACACATAGGCTACTTTTTATCCCTGGAATAGTTACGATTCCCGTGGGATTCATTAATTTAGTTTTTTAATGTTTACTCGATCATTCTGCAAAGGTTCAACATATGTTATTGAAATTTGGCACAGATATAAAACAAAGTCTGGAGTACACATGGGATAAGCTTCATACCCGAGAAATGTCCGGTTCCCGAGGGATACGTAGCTTTTTGTAATTTTTATAGTTTGTATGTTTTCTAATACCACGCGTACAAAGTCGCGGGCAACAGCTCGTATTTAATACTTATAAGTCATTGTGCTGTTTAAAATGAATAGACAATGCATAGAAGTGTAATCTATATAGGTCAAATGATTGCCATTATTATTGCCAACTAACAAGTTTAACAATAGATAATCTGGTAAGTTTTAGATTGAAAGACATACGAATAGAAAGGAAATCATAGTACGTTGTTCCGTTTGAATATAATTGGTGCGTCTTACCGGCTACCGTCCAACAATAACAACGTTATGCAACACGATCATTGTTCAACAACCGGCCTAACGCAAATTGTCTTTTTACAAACATAGCTTTGTAAATCATCGTGCGCGTGTTTGATTCAATTGCTGTTCCAATTGCAAAAGGTCGAGTGGCAAAGACTATTGTTTTAAAAACATACGAGACTATCGAAAAATCGAAACATCGACTTTTAAACAAAATGTTTGAAATTTTTTCTAGCCTTTGTCAGTAACTTTAGCTGTGCAGAATTAAAAAAAAATGTATCTGTGTCAAATTTTATCGTGATCCGTTAAGCAGTTTTGGATATACGTAGTAACAAACATCCATCCATCCATCCATCCATCCAATATTTTGCATCTATAACATGAAATAAGAAGTATGATTAACATTAAAAATAATTATAATAATTACCTGAAGTTGCTGCACCAATAAGAAGGTCCCCAAGTACATTTTGAGGCTCCTAACAATTTACCTGCAAAAATAATTTAATATGAATTCTCTTATTGTAAAAATACAACGAAATTGTTTTAGTACCTTTAAGATTGTAGGAAAGAGAAAGAAAGAGCCATTGCAAGAGAGACAGGAGAATTTTGTTTGATTAAAATGGAATTGCATTATGTTTGTGCAATGACATTTCTTAGAGTACTGTATTAGTTAAATCGTTATTACGTAAATCGCTTTGGTAATTTCAATTTTCCGCTTCACACTTTATAGCGACATTGATTTGTCTACAAACCGTCAAGGTATTCGAAATCCAATAACATTGTAAAGAACAATATGGTTAAGAATTTACACCCATTAAAAAAACTTTCAAATTAAAATCACATTTTAGAACATCCTGTAACTAAACGTGTTACAATTAATAATTACCTCCATACTTATCAGTCGGTGTTTTAGCTGTAGTCGATTTCTTCTTCTGAAATAATAAACTCCTTTGTAAATTGTTCAACAATAAAAACCACTTATTTATGTTTTAAGATATCTAAGCTACGCTGTACAAGTTTTTGAAAATGGAAGATCACATATTCCTTAGACAATTTCATGCATTAACCAAACATAAACAAATAATTTTATATCTAAACTATCAAACAAAGTTAAAAATTCTATGTTTTGTGTTGTCATATAACAGGCATTACACATTTCGGAACATCCTGTATACGTATATCAATCGTGTGTGTCTTACATTCATAGACAAGACGTTGTCAAGTTTATCACTGTTGCACATAGCAACGACGCTGCACATTGTCTCTGGTGAGGTCTCCGAAGCGAGAAGAGCCAACAAGTATTCTTCCAGATGAGCGGTATTCTCGCGACAGTACTTGGTGATTGTCTGATCGGGAACATCGCGGCACGCCGAGTTCATGCGTGCTGCAAGGTACTCCTAATAGGAATAATAATGTTTTAACGTAATGTAACCGCTTTAAACTAAGTAATATAACCTATATATCGTTTACTAGCTGTTGCTTGCGACTTCGTCAACGTGAAATTAGAAAAATCTATACTATTATAATAAAGCGTACACACACTTTTTTGTTGCCTAAGATGTCAGCAATTACAGCATATTTTGAATAATTCTTTCTTTAATAAAAAGTCCTACACTTACGTCACGCTTTAGGCTATATATTTTCTCGCCAATAAACCTAGGGGGTCAATATTTTAGATAAAAACCCTAATGTGGGAAAAGAGACCATAAGTTGCTGCCAACATTAAGGAAACAAGATTGTCAAGGTTTGTCATTTTGACATTTGCTATTGATAATTTGACAAATGTAAACAATAAAATAGACTTTTCATAATTTCATGCGGATGAAGCCGCACGGGAACAGCTAGTAATAAATAAAAATAGCCTATGTTACTATGATAACGTAGCTTTTAAATGGTGTAAGAATTTTTGATAAGCCCAGTAATTTTTGAGTTATTTCAATACATTCAAAAATACAAATCTGTCCTCTTTATAATATTAGTATAGACTAGTTGTTGCTTGCGACTTCATCCGCGATAAAATGAAAAATAGAACCTTTGTTACTCACTGATAACGGTGCTTTGGTGCAAGAATATTTGAAATCGGAACAGTAGTTTTTGAGTTATTTCAATACATTCAAAAATTATAAATCTTTCCTCTGTAATTCTAGTATAGATTAGTATTAATTTCTTCAATGTTAGAGCAATCGCAAGTTAGAATGTTTGTTCATTGTAGACAAATAAATGTGTTACATAGTAACAAAACAAGCATATCTACCAATATAAATATACATTAACGTTAAACAGAAACATGCGCATAATTACAACAAGAACTTGACTAAATAAAACGTATGCACAATACGTTTGTAATATACAAATATTCTAGAGTCGACATAATTTATATTAAGTACGTAGTTAGTCATCTCATGACGTATTACTATCATTTAAAATTGCGTTTACAGAATTGTTCCTTTTTTGTGAACTAGAGGTCTTTATTCCATTATACTTTTGTAGGATTAGAGAACAAAGAACAAAGTGTTTGATGGTAGGCCATAGAAATAACCTTTTGTGTGACTATTACGCAAGGCATGAACATCTCAAAAGATTAAAAAATCAATTGAACAACTATATGACCATTACATTGCATAGAACCGTAGATGTCTACTGTCAAAACTTGTACTATTCGTCCTTCTGATTAATATTTAATTAAACATAAATAACATTCTTTCATGGATTTTGACAGTGAAAGCCAACAGTTATATTGCTTACAGAACCACCTGTAAAAATATAACCTTGCTATTGTACTTAAAAATACACCAATCCTGAACAATATAAAAGTATAATAAAAAAATTAAAATGCACGATTCTCGAATATAAAACTCAAACATACCGCATTAATAAGATCTTTAACATCCTTCAGTTGTCTGAAGAGTCGAATGATTTTTTCGGATACTTCATTATGGCGAACTTCAATTTGTTGCTTTTCCCATACTGTGCCGATGCAGTGGCCCACTGCACCGCAGTCAGAGGCAACCCTAGGTGCAATAATTTTAATAATTATTTAAAGTAGCAACCCTAGTTGTCAAGGACGATACTAAAAATATGAAAAACATAAAATAGATACAAACTTCGAAATACTAAATTTATGGTACAATTCAGTGATAGACGGCAATAGTTTATATTTAATACTAGCTTTAACCCGCGACGCCGAATGACATAAAAAAAAATCAAAAACAAACAGCCTATGTGTTCTTCCAGACAATGCTCTACATCTAAGCCAAATTTCATCTGCATCAATACAGCCGTTTAGGCTATAAACTCCAAACATCCATCCATCCATCTTAACATTCGCATTTATAATATATAAGTCAGGTAATAAGAAGTAATTACTCACTTAATATTTTGACACCAATACGAGGGCCCTTTGGAGCATTCTTTAGGTAGTTGGCGTGCTGATGCTATACCTGCAGAAAAAAAACAATTACATATCTCAAATAGTTATGGGATATAGCTTTCGCCCGCGACTCCGTCCGCGAGGAATTCAAAAAGCAAAAGTGAATAGCCTATGTGTTCTTCTAGACTATGTTCTACATCTATGACAAATTTCATCGAAATCCGTTCAGCCGTTTAGGCTACAAACTCTAAAAAACAAACATCCATCTATCTAAACTTTCACATTTATAAGACAAAAAAACCTTATATATTTCATATAAATGTCCTAGAAATCATTCTATCAAACAAAAGCTACAATTAGGTCAAGTAAGATTAGATATTTCGATTGCTAAAACATAGTACAAAAGAATATTACTTAGGCTATTGATAACGTTAGTAAAGCAACTAATTAATCATATTTTATCATTAATTAGTATAGACATACTGGTATCAATATTTACAATAAAACATATACTTAAATAGTATTGGATAATAAGATTATCTTATACTAGCTCTTGCTCGCGACTTCGCCACCGTGATATCAAAAATAATTCAAAACATAGCCTATGTTACTCACAGGTAATACCTTTCTAATAATGAAAGAATTTTTAAAATCGGCCCACAAGTTTTTGCGTGAATCAAAAATCCAAAAATAAAGATATTTCCTCTTTAAAATATTAAGTAGAGATTACTCTGTACAGAACTTAATTCTTTCTTTGTTTGGTAATTTGGTGAAATTATTAAGAAGGCACTAATAAAGTAAAAATGTTCATCCGAAGAGGTTACATCTCTAATTTACTTTGATGTCTTGATTGGATAGAAATTTATAAATTCCAATTAAATAGAATCAGATAACAAATAAATATTTTAATTACCAATTTACTCATAATTAATCACATCATAACACATTCAGATGACCACAAGGAAAATAAACAATATAACTGTATTGTGTCTAGTTTAAAATGGTAATATTGCTCTTAATATTAATTACTAGCTATCGCCCGCAACTCCGTCTGCGCGGAATTAAAAACTAAAGCAAGTAGCCTATGTGTTCTTCCAGACCATCCTCTACATATATGACAAATTTCATAAAGATCTCTTTGGTCGTTTAGTCTACAAACTCTAAAAAACATCCATCCATCTAAACTTTCGCATTTATAATATTAGTAAGATTATAACAATGACATCTAAATTAATGTCTTCCCTTTTATTCTTGTTGAAAAAAATAGTTTTCTTATAAAACTTTTACATCATTGTATACAAGAACTATGTTTGTAAAAATTTAATTAAAGGAGACAATAATATTACCAATAGAAAACTGTAATAAGTACTATAAAGTAAATATTTACATACTGAACTGATGATTCTTACTAGTTCAAATTAGATTAAAAAATATAGATAATTTTATCAGTAACCTCATTAGGACTGTCTTATATTAATACATATATAGTTTATTTCCAGTGCTGTAGAAATCGAGTTGCCACAACACATCATTTTTATGTTACTAGCTGCCTGCGAATCACCCCACATTAAATTAAAAAGAAAACAAAATGAGTAACCAATGTGTTCTTCCAGACTATCCTCTACATCTATACCAAATTTCATGGAAATCCATTCAGCTATTTAGGCTACAAACTCTAACAAACATCCACCAAAACATTTGTATTTATAATATTAATATGATTTCTTGTCTACTTTTGTTACGTGGTTGTTAAGTCACAACTAGGTTGTATCAGGTGTCACCAATTGCTCATATCGGTATAAGATTACTCACAAACAAGATAATAATAGTTGAGTTTTCATTGTTGAAAGACTTGAGACAAACACGGACAAACATTTATCTTTTGTGACACTAGACACCTCTTTTAAATCTTACTATCAACAATATATGTCAATTTAAGGAAACATATCTACACAGGATAAATAAAACCATTTAATTTGCAATGTTAATCAATTATGTGGTGCATGTTAGATAATGCAACAATTTGATATAATTAATACCCTAATAAACTCCTTTAAAAAAAGAACTGACAAAATCTAGATCATCTATCAGATAAAAATGAAAAATGGCACATAAGATTAAAAAGAAAGCTAATATAAAAGTTACAGCAAATGAGATTTGAACTCGGATTTTCACTATTTCTTCAGAATTTCAATTCTCACATCCAGTGTATGCATTTTGTGATGGTGTAATACACTCTATGACATTCCAGGGAAGAAGACCAATCTAATGACATCTCAATCAACAAAACCAGTCCAGTCATTCAGACTCTAGGTTGTTACAATCAAATTTACATAGACACAAACAAATATAACTTTGTCTATCGGATAATAAGCTGAGTTTAAATTTTATTGTAATAAATATGATAAATTCATAATTTGTAGCAGTAAAGCATACACTAAAAGGTCACTAACAGCAATAACAAGTATATTGGTCATGAGATAACATTCATATTTACTTTAACTGGGTGATTATATTATATAGAAAAACACTTGTAAAAGAAATAACATATCATTAACTAGCTAGTGATAGAAATAAAAGTTGTTTTTAATGTATTTTTTTATGTCATAAGGTATCAAATGAACAAGCAGCCACCAGAATTGACCAAAATGGTGAAATGATCGCTGCTCAGAAAAATCCACAATTTCAGAAGCATTGTATTGGAAATATTTCATTGCATACATAATTTAACAACTTAATGTATAATATGTTGTTATAGAATTCAATAAGAATTTAAACAATATTGAAATTTTGTATTACTTTAAAATACTTTCTATGTAAAATTCAATACAAAGGAAATGACACATATTTGTTTAGCTGCATAAACAGTAGATTATGATTCATGTACCCCCACTAATGGAATTTCCGGTACACAATTGTTCAAGAGGGGGGACAATATATTAATTTATTGAAACTTATTGAGGAAAATTGTCCCTATGATGTCCATTCAATACATTTTAGTTTATTACCTTATAGTTTGAACATTTTTGGTCTCTGCAGAGTAATTAATAGTAAAAATTATTTAAACTCAATGTGGATAATAGATATTAGATTAGGAATTCTATGTAATTATTTAGTACTATGCCACAACTCTCGAATTCACTGTAAATAGTACAGAAAGGAGGATCATGAGAACAAAAAAATGCTCAGGACACTAGGTCTAGATTGTTCTGGAAAGTTTTAGATAAGAGAAAAATATTTTCTTTGGACATAATTTCACTAACTACCTTCATTTCTTGATTAATAATAGTTAACAATATTCAATAAAACACACTATTTTTTGTGCTTATTCTAAGTATAACATTTTTATATGATTCAAGTTTAAAATAGAAGTGACGTAGATATAGATTATAAGAAGAGAATTAATTAAACATTTAATGTCTAAACAATTAAAAACTACTTGATTTGCGTGCAAATTGCAAGTCAACAATAACAAGAACATGACATTTATCCATCAACCTTGGAAGTTTTATTAAAATTTATTAATAATATCTACAAGGAATCTTTTTAACAAAACACCTCACAACACGAATTGATTACAGCGCAAAATGAAACTAAACTCATTACAACAACGGAAATAATTACACGTATATAATTTGATTACATTGCACGTAAAATAAAAACTGTAGTATACTCACTTGCATAGGAAAAGCACAGCAAAGAAAATAGACAAACACCTAAAATGTTTGTCATTTTCGAAACAAAAATTTCTACTTCGTGTATTCCAAGTCTCGGCGCATAAAAGACTAAACAATTCAAATACCCAACAATTTTACTTTGTTTGGAAGTTATTGCGTATCGATTTGATAAACAAGTGTCAAGTCACTGAGCACAAGAAAATGCCACTGTCCGTTGTGTTGTGCGTTGCTATTATTTGATGCGAAATCAAATCGATGTTCGTACTTGCGTACAATCGATTTAATTATTGATGAGCATGATTTAAAAAGATTAGCGTGTGGTTTTTCTATGGTAAATGAAAATTAAACATAGTCTCTAATTTTTTTTAATAAAACTTCAAGATATTTTAATTCGTCTTCAAACTTGTTTTAGTTTATAGCATTTCTTCTAATTTACTTAGTTAATATGAAAGCAACTTTTCAGTCAGTACTAGTTATATTTGAATTTGGTCAAACCAAATATATTCATTTTGAATCCCACAAAACATTTTACATATGTTGCATGCTTTCACATAACATCGATTTCTTTCTTGAATCGATTTTCGCAATTCTTTTGTAAAATAAGTCTTCACTACAATTTCGCCACAGATAAAAAAGTTTGCTTAATTTTTAGTATTTGCTTACTAAACTCAATATTTTATTCCTAGGAAAACTAAAATATTTCTTAGCGTGGTTTTGTATGTATATTTTTTTGTCAACACAAAATAACTTTACGCCTTGGCGCATATTTTCGTTCAGAGTACTTTTTTAACAGTGCCATCTGTTGTTAAGTAGCACAATCTCATTGTGTTTCAAAATTCTATTGAACGCTAGATGTCACTATATGCCACTATCATGTTAACTGAAAACCGATAAATTGCGTCTTCATTTGAACCAATAGTACTAGAGCCTAATCTTTGCATTATGTAACTTATACCACAAACAGAATAGTAATGATAGCTGTTATCAATAAATCTATTATCTTTACATATCTATTTGTAGCCACATCTATTACTAAATATGTACCCACTACTGCACTGTAAGGTTTTTTATATATTAGATTTTAATTTTATATAATTATGATAATGTTACGTAACATCGTATTCAACACATGTTTTATTATCTAACTTTTCGAAAGTTTCTTCTAATATTTTTATAAATCAATATTATCGAGAACTTAACAGATTTTTCCAAACGTTACCTTGAGTTTCGACTGCCAAGACATGCATTCATATTTTTATGTCAGTTTTTTCTAGTGAATTCGAAAGGTAATAAAATGTATTTTAATGCAAGTTTTGTATTATCTGCTGTACCTAATAATTTAACAGCATCATATTTAATTGGACATTTGAACACAATGAGAATTTTGCCCATTTGGAATTGTGAAATGGAATTTACAGTAGTAAATATCATTCCATTAATGTTCTACAAAGTCTAGTTTTTTGAAATTATTTACTTTCAAAAAACCTTTTGTTAACATTATGATGATTATTATAAAATGTACTGTTTTAGGTAAAAACATAGATAATTCATATTTCCCCTTTTTAACTTCTTACATAGGTGTACAAAGAAAGGAAAAATGTATTCTCTTTTCCCAGGTTAGTTTTTCCGAAGACAATTAGACGTCGTTCCCAAGGGACGGCGCGGGTCGTTCGTGTAATAAAATTAAGAAGACTTGCCGGCCGCCGCCGACCGACCTCCGTATAAAACAAATCCGACGCAGCCCAGACCAGACCCGGCTTGCGAAGACCGTAGACTCAATCACAGTTCTTTTTATTCCCTTGCGTACAATATTTTTTTTGTTTTTAAATACTAACTAATATTGATCTACTAGATCGAAATTATTTAAATTTATATTGTTTCAAGTTAAATTGCAACTTTTAGTTAGGATTTTTCTACTTTTGCGTAATTTTTTAGAATACTGAAAATTGATTTTAATTACGAGGAGTAGGTCTACTAATTAGCTAGACCTAATTTTCTATTTAAAAATAAGTATTAAAAATTAATTTATTATCAGAAGTTACCATAAACGATTCCTAAATCAATACCGACATAAAATATATACCAAAGTAATGTCTTCTGATGAACATACAAATCAGTAAAGTTAGTAAATATTCTAAATTTTTCGTGCCTCCATAATCGTGTTCACATATCCTGAATAACACTTCAATATTGTGTAGTAACAATATGACTGGACTTGTCCGCTACTCGCCGCCACGTGACGGGACTGCGTACGTCCACTTACGACCTTTATTTGGATATCAAACCTTTATTTCGTACTTTCGCAACTTGAAGAAACAAGATATGTATTGTAACTCGAAATAAAATCAAGAACTACGTTATTCTATTATCATATGAGAATAATATAATTGAACATTGTGAAGCGATAAGTAGATTAAAAGTAAAAAATGGTATAACAGCAGAATTACAAATTTTGTTATGTAACAAATTATGTAATTAAAGTAAACTTAGTTCGTTGCATCTATAAAAGTTTCATTAACGATATTTCGACGTCTTAAGCAAGGTCCTTGAAATATGAACCCCAGAAATGCATTAGAACTCTATGATACGTAAGACTACGAGCGTAGTTGCTCAAAGCACTACATTTTCATTGCAATCTTTATTCGTTTCACACATTGATTGACAAGTTTGCCCAACAAGTTAAATTTGCAACTATACTCGTAAGAAAAATAGACTTGGATTTGTTCCGCTCATATTCCCGTTCTACCATCCTATGACATTATGTAGTCAAAAATTGCATTGTATTAAAACTAAATTTAAAGACTAAACTAAGAATCGCAATCGCGGTAGCTTTTCTTGAAAATTTATAAAGGTGTTCGAGAGCGTTACTTCGATCAGTTAGGCTCTGTGTAATCCAGTGGGCAGCGTCGGTGCAAGCGCCTCGGGCCGGGTAATAAAAAAGAGTTATTGTTGAGACGAAAAGGAAAGTCCGTCGGAGGCGCTGGCCGTTAGTCCGGGATCAAGGGCTCAGCGCGACGGCGATAATCATAATTTTTACTTACAAGAGCACGAGTACGAGCATTAGACGACGCTCGCGACAAATCTTCCCTAACTGAGGCCAACTTCGCGACACTCGACCGCTTGCGGGACTGGACGCTTCATTTGTTCCAATATAGCACTTCACTAACATTATTATATACATGTATAGGCTTTTAATGGAGGTTAATCTCCCTATCATATCGAGGAAAACAAAAGAAAGTGTGTTATTTCTTACATAGCAACATTAATCAACAAATAATGGTTATTCTATTTTAAGTACAGAGAGTAAGCTTTAGAACATTTACATATATCTAAACCTTGCAATGTAATAAAGGAAATAGCACCGCAAGCCAACGCTCAAATCGCCTAGGTATGAGTTTACTCTTTAAGAGGTACAGGTTAAGCACATTTGGCGCACAGCCACTTCAAACTTTGCTTAATTGTTTAGAATTCGGTAAAAGAAACAGTAGTTCTGTTAATCATAGCTAAATGTATACGAAAAGTAGAAAAAAAGGTAATTAAAACGCTTTTTAAGTATTTTCGATTAAACAGTATGAAATATTAGATGTGCAATAAAATATTTTAGAGATAAAAGAAAGCTAATTTTTGCTTCTAAAACAAACAAGAGATAAAGAAATACATCTCGTCTATTAGCTTCTTTCTATTTAGATATCATAAATAAGTTCAGTGCAATACTTGCAGAGGAGATGGACCCACGCTCGGCAGTTCTCGCCGCCTCACGGTCGATTAAGGAAGCGAGTGCAGTTGCCTTGGCGACGCCGCCATCTTGCCCCCTCCCCCACCCCCGAATCCGTCTTCCCCATCCGGGCTCGGGGGAGCCTCCCCCACTGTAAACAATCCGCTATTTCGTTGCACTGAAACACTCGATATATTAAAAAGCTCCCGCGAAAGCACTGCCTGATAAATGCAACCATTTTATAAACGGATCAAGAGATGAGTGTAAACTGTGATAGTGATTTAAAACTAAAAATATCTATATAACTGCTTCTGTGCGTACTGGATTTAATCGGTAAATACAATTACTATAATAAGCGTTTTAATTTATGACTAAAGGATAACCTTATTAGTTATTTGATGGCAAATTATATTAGGAATGCTATATCAAAAATAATGCTTACACAGAAAATACTAAGGGCCTGTCTCACCAAATTGTAAATTGTCTCATAACGATCCAACGTGTAAATGACTTATCTGACAGTGACGTCATTTTTAAGCTATCTGAGCCTCTATCAGCCAGTGGGACAGGCAATTAGTATTATTATTTTGGTTTGATTTCTCTTTTCTAAACCCCAATAATATAGTAGAATATTTAACTGTGTCGTTTATAGGGGAAGGTGTCAGAAACGTCCAAAGGCCACGTCCTAATGAACGCTGAGTTCAATTTTACGTGAATGCCGCAAAGACAAACGTCCGCCATTACTCAAGATTAAAAGTAACTCCAGCCCGTTGGCCGATGAATTAAATCATGACGTCCTTACAACTTACATTTCGTTTAATTCAACTAATTTTTTAAAGAAATACTTCACTAAAATACGACGATTTATAAAATAGTTTGACGTAAAGATAGATACATGTTGCTACCAGTCAACAAACAAATGTCGAAAGTATAAAATTAAAAACGAATTAAGACGTGAAGAACATAATCTACATCATACACGTAAAAAGAGTTGTTACTCATATTACAAAAGAAGAAAAAGCCTTCTTGAATTATAAATGTAAAATATCAAATGCCTTATAAAGCGTGCGTTCCTTCCACATGGTAAAATACCCATTAAGTTTATATTATTAAGGCAGGGGGCAATCTGTACGCCGTTTTAATGTATTATGTAGAATTATAAAGGCGTCGGGGACGCTTACTTCTTATGATTTATTCATGAACGTGAACAATGTTAAATTTGAACATGCCTGTTTCTACTGAGCCGGTATTCTGGTAGCGTCAAGTATTTTGATATTATTATTCCTTGTAAAATACTGACATATTTAATAGTTAATAAGATTAAAAACATCGTTTAGATAATGATAATAGTAATTTATCGGAATTTAAAAACATGTAACAGTTAAGTACCTAACGACTGCTACAAAGGTAGTGCTTGTAATCTTCAACTTGGCGACTTTATGTAAGACTTTATGGTACTTACTTGTGTCAGTATGAAATCACAAAAGA